TAAACAAAAAAGGGGATACAGATGAATGTCCATTTTGTATCTGTGTATTCAAAATGGTTAGGATAGATATATAGTTACATTCTCTTAATGAATACAGGAATTTGTTCTAATAGTGTTTGTAAATAGGATATCAAGTCTGCATCTTGTACAGCAAATAACCACTAGGAAGAATGTATGCAATGTGTTAATTATTGAAACAGTCCTACCCATTTGGTTTGAAACTGTCTCATTGCTATTTATTTCTCAATAAAATTATGGAAAAAAAAAAAAGAGAGAGAGAACTGAAAGCCTATCTGAGAAACAGATTACCTGGCCTTATCCATTATTTCCTAGAGCCACATGACTATGCTCTCCAATGCTAGCTAGATTGAAGCTGTAGTATCTCTACAGTGAAGCTTACAGTCAACAAGATACACTCAAAAACTGAACTTCTAATCAGCTATCCTGCTGCCCGATACTCAACTTGAGCAGACAAGTGTTAAGAGGAAAACCCCTTATATGAACACAAGTTAAGCCAGAGAAACAACAATTTCTCTTCCCTAAAACAAGTTGTACATACTAAGTATAGACTAATCTTCCTCTTGTCTTTCTGTATTAGAACAGCCAAAAAGACATCCTCTGATAAGACCCCCAATTCAGAAGAGTCCTTCCCCATGCTCATGAAGAAGTGGTTGCATAGAGAGGCCAAAAGGAACCTGAACAGACAGACCTTGCTGGGTACCCTTACTGAGCTTTAGACCACACCTTTCTTATCTGATCGCATGTCAACATGATTGTGTACACTTCAATCATGTCCATGCAATAAATAAAGTCTCCATAAAAACCCCACAAGGATATGGTCCTGGAGTTTCTAGATGGTAGAACACATGGAGCTCACAGAAGGGAAATAAAAACATGTGTCAGGACATTTATGCACCCTATCCCTAGGCATGGACACTCCTATTTTCCAGGCCTACCTCTATTAAATACCTCTCTGCATTTTTTATTTATATTCTTTAAAATATCCTTCAAAATAAATGATCCAATATTAAGTGCTTCCCTAAGTTGTATGAGTTGCTTTAGCAAATTAACAAAACCTATGGACAGTTGGTTAAAAATTTTAGAGGGCTGGTATTGTAACCAGATTGAAAGTGGGGGTAGTCTTGGAGATTGAGCCATTAACTGTGGGATCTGACAATGTCAAGAGTTTAATTAAATCCAATGGCCAGGTGGTGTCCACTGCAGAACTGTTTGCTTGCTGACAAAGAAATACACTTTGAGGGCACAGAAATCTTCTTCGCTGATTATGTGCCAAAGACTTCACAGAGGAAAATAGACAATTTGTTTTCCTCAGATATATACTACATATAATATTGACAAACAATTTTTTTTTTTTTTTTTTTTTTT